TTAGCTGGTTCTGCAAACTAAGGCTTCGTTTTGCCAAGTTATCTATTGAAATCACGTATAAAGAACTAGCAGTGTATGAATATTCCTGCCCCAAATGCTGTTTGTTCAGGCAAAAACACATGTGGGTGCGCTGAGCCTTTCTTCATATAAATTTCCAATTTTCACTCACTAATAAATCAATCTTACATAGAAAACTAGACCAGTATTAGGTACAACTTCCTTATTCATCAGAAGGACCTGGAATACTCCCTTCATTGTGTTTAGTAATATTTTTATTACTCTTTAGATATTATTTAGATTTTATAGATATTTTAATCTATAACTTAAAGATATCAAAGAAATTCAAATAATATTCAGATTTCTTCAAGGGCACTGAACAGGCTGGAGTAGAATAGGTTAGTGCAGTTTTGTCTGTCCTCTGGGGAACAAGCAAGAACTGCTGAAAGGAGGTTACTCAAATAAATTGCATTTCCACAGTACAAAAACACCCAGGCACAGCTTGTTTCTGTCCTAGATAATGAGGTGACACAGTACAGCAGTTAGTGCTTTTGTCCAGTTCGAGAATTAATCCATATTACACAGACACAAAAGAAGATATTTGACCTCACTTGTCCCCAAAGCAGTCTAATTTGCCTAGATATTAAAGTGCTAGTGATGTGTATTTAATGAGAATTCTTTTTGCATGTTTATTATCCAGTGACATTTAGGAGGTCAGCCTGATAATTCAGTTATGGCCTCTGTCTTGCTACTTTATTTAATGTAAAGGAAAATGTGATGTGACCCAGGTTGCATTTAACTAGGAGTAACAACAGAATTGAGCTCATACATGGTCTCATAAAAAGCACAGGGAAGTGGAGCAGACCCAGCCATTACTGAGGGGGAAAGGCAGGGAGCCTGAGCTGAGCAGCCTCATACACTTCCCTATCTTGCTATTTCATGTAATGTTCATCTATCAAACATGAACGAGCTCCACGGGCTGTGTCTCAAACTAGCAGAGGGTCATTCAAGCTCTGACAAAGCCAGGAGAGCCCTGAGCTCAAACCCTTACCCAAAATTAGTCCAAACCCAACCACAGCCCCTCCAAACAGAGTCCCCCTAACCAGCCCCAGCTCTGCACACACAATAAAGCACCGTGCTCCTTCCTCTGCTGTCTCCAAGCTGCACAGCCAGGCCTCTTTCTTCCTAGTGCACAACAGAGACCTGAGAGTCTCCTGCCTCAAGGGGGGCTGGCTGTGCATGCCCTGCTCTTCTGAGCACCAGGGGCACAGAGGCTGCAGGACTGTCACCTGCTGCTTTATCTCAAACAAGCAGCCCAGGAGCAGAGCTCCTTCTGCCTCAGACATAAAGGGCTTTCAGGAGGGGAGGGACAGGCATGGAGTGAAGATTTATGTTCTTCCTTGTGATGACCACTTCATCTGTGCATAACACATGAGCTTGTGTTCCTCCTAGACCTCCTTGCTTCACGCTCCCATCTTTGTTTATTTTATTTAAAGCTTTCACTTCTGAGCTTTGAGGCTAGAGATCAAACAAATAAAAGGGAATTTGGAAGCTGCAATGTCTGATCTGCATTCTACTCAGAAGTTAAACTAAAAATTGCCCCCAAGCCAATACACAGGCACTCATTTTGGAGACCATTTGGTAGGATATAATACAGTCAATTTCCCTCCCAGGAGGTCAGGATGAAGATCCTTGTTTATTACTTCACCATCTAAGGCACTGGACTTAAATTTAGAAGACCTGAAATTAAGTTTTCATATTTAATTTCACAGCTGTCACACGACTCAACAAAGTCAGTTATTGTTCTTGTGTCATTTATCTGTCTCAAACACTTGGACTACAAACTTCCTGAGACAGAGACACCGTGTGTTTCACTCAGTGATGCTCCTGCATCCCCCTACTCTACCCACTGAAAACCAGGAGTACTTCCACACAGTAACAACTCTGCACACTGCTCACCCCAATTATTTTCCTACAGTGTAAAATTCCACTTGTGTACAAGCATTTAAACTAAAAGCTCAATATTATTTCATTTAGAACCACATGGACAGCTGCTTCTGTGATAGTGTTAAAAATGGTCTTGCCAGCAGATCTTTGTCTCCTTACAGCCCAAATCCCATTTTCTTGGTTTCCACTTCAGTTCACCTTGCTGGCAGACAAGGAGTAACCTTTCTGACTCATGAGACCACAGTACCAAGTTTTTATATGGTTGTTTAAACATCACAGATAAAATTCTGCTTAAGTAGCTAATATTTGTGGCATATTTGTCAATTTTCCAGTTGTTCTGCATCTATTGCTTTATATACCATAATGCTGACACAAACTTCAGCCAAATACTATTTCTGAAGATGTCCAAAACAATGGATTTTCTATTTCTACCCAGTTTGTCAGATGAGACTCTCTGCTCTTCAGATAATCTCAGTAACAGACACATTTATCCTAATAAATTCATGTTTCAGTTCAGTTAGAAGATGTAAAAAATCACACTTTTCCGTGGTGTGTGTGACGGGCAGCAGTTGAAGTCAACAAGAGCCCTGCAGGCACATCCCAATGTGGCATTTGATCTATAATCATGTTTATTGGAATCCAAGTACATTGAGGCCCTCTCTTACTACACTGAAAGTATTGGGAAGATTTCTATTGCAAGGAAAATAGGATTAGAGGCCAATTCATGCAGGACACTGTAGCTAGTGCCATGCCATCAGCTCTTAGGCAGAGCTCTCCAGTGTCTTAAATGAGGATGTTTCTTAATCGCTGATAGCAAATCCATTGTTCAACCACATTTCTGCTTTCATACAGAGGAAATATCCCTGTGTACAATGAAAAGACTTAAAAATGCTAAATACTTTAAATGCATTAGACTATTCAATTATTACACACAGATTTGGTGCAAGTACTTATCTGTATGTGTTACAGCTCAAAATAGGATAATGAGGTGTATGTATTACACTGCTATGCAGATGTAGCTCATACAGCAACACAAGGTTAGGTCCCGAGTCTTAAACACCACGTGAACAAAGATTTACTTGGATTTGTTGGCCCTACTGTGTGGAAAACCAGTTGTGACACTGCCTCAGGGGGGTGGACCTGAAACAGGGTTTCTAGTTCCCAGAAGTAAATAAAAGGAAAAAAACCCCAACATTTCCTATAAAGCAACTGCATTCTTTATACAATAATACAATAATTACTGTACCTAATGTAGCTCTAAGGAGCACCACTTTAACATACAGATGGAAAACTTAGAAGGTCTAAGATGTCATTTTCTTTTAGGATGGTTTGAAGAAAGTTTAGTGCTTATCCAACCCAAGTGGCAGCACTGGAGACCCCTTCTTCCCTTTCCTCACAGAAACAGGTGGTACTCCTGCAAGTCCTCATCACACTGACTGCCACATTTTATCCAGATCTCTATCCAGATTCATGGCTAGGGAAGACTTCGTGTCTCTGCACCAAGCTCTCTTTCTGCTTCAGACCAACTCCCTGGCCCAGACAGCCTTTCTGAAATACCCAGGAGATGGGGACTGGGACAGCAGCAATCTGCTTCACAGAAGAGACATCTTGTGGTGACAAGACTCACACAGTTCTGGTCCAAAAGGCACCTCCATCAGGAATTTTTGAGGGTCAAGTCCCTCAGCTGCACATCTCCTAAGCCATGCTGTGATTGACGTTCTATTGATTCGTAATTACAGGCAGCTCCAAACTACCACAGGTACAAAAATTACAACAAACCAGGGAGAAGCCTGTTATTCAGGGAGGTCTTGATTCAAGCAGAGTAAAAAGGCATTAATTCTACAAGAGGACCAGACCAAAGTACACAATTTATCACCTTCCTCTTATGGGGACAAAAGCAGGTGCTGGTTTACACCTTATGAAGTCAGTACAGAACAGGAGCAGTCTGACTTGGCTGCCACGGAGTGGCACTGTTCACAGAGAGCAGCGTGCCCAGCAGGGAGCTCACAGCATCAAATTCTGCTTTAGCCAGTCTGGTAGCTCTCAGCATCAGTTTCCACCTGGAGACCCCCACTAGATGTTTTTCTGTATTCTGCTACCTTTTTCACTGATTTGCATCACTCCATTACCTCCACTGCTGGCCACAACGCTACCGGTTTACTTTCAGAATTTAATGCAGCCTAGAAATGATGCAGAAGTGCCATATCCCAAACCACAGACATGTAAAAAATCGGGACAGACAGCAGTTTAGCTGATCTGGGCAGGAGGTCTTGCCCTAACGGGCATGTGTGACATGCTGTCTTGGCGGCACACGCTCGCATCCATCTGTTGACGTGGAACTGAGCCCACTGCACTTCCACTGTCCTGGTTTTAGTTCATATGCACCACATAAGCTCTGGGCTCAGCAGGCAGGGTGCACAGTGCTGCAAGTCCTAAACACAACCTCCAGTGTCAGCATGGAATTCTTGCTGTCATCAGAGTGGAGAGGAAACATGAAAACACCACTTAGCTGTGGGGTCCCAGGAGGAAAGCAGATCTTTCCAAACAAACAAAAAAATAATAGATCATGAGCATTACAGTGTCTGGTTTAATTTCTGGGGGCCAGTGGATGCAGCAAAAGCAAAATGAGTTTCTTTAAATGCCCTCAAGCGCCTGTAGTTAAGATCTCAGGAACCGTCACCTTATCTTCCACTAGACACCAATGAACAACCAGCTTAGTCTTGGGAATTATAAGGAGTAAAATCTAGCTTTCACATGTATTTCTACAGAAAAAAGAAACTAAATTATTCAGAAAACAGGAAAAGGTAGTAGCTAGATAAAACACAGCACCTGTAAAGCACCAGCAGGTCACAGTGACCCACATAGGAATGATTTCCATTACTGTGAGCCAAAACCTGCAACTGTTTGCCCAGAAAGTGTGAAGAGGTATCAGGAAGAAGTGTGAACTTCCCTGCATGAAGATTCTGAATCTGCGTCAGAAGGGACTCAGCAGAGAGGGGAGCTCAGGGCCTTCCCTGAATAGTCAGTGGCATAAAACTGTTTCCCTTCTTCCACAGATAACTTGGCAGGGACTTTTGTTCAACATTAACTAAGTGACAGTGGCTGAGAGGAGAGCTGAAGCCCAGCCAGAACAGCACCACACCTCAGAAGCTCGAAACACTTTTGCAATGCAGATTTAAGAGTAAGTTCTTCGTCCCAGACATTCCTGTCATTGGATAAATAAAGATTTATAGCTGCCTTCTCTGGCAAACTGCAATATGGTAATGCGGCATTAATAACTTAATACAGTATTAACTGATAGACAATCAGTATTAGCATGATGTTTACATTTTGAAAACATTATAGAGCACTGTATCTCCAATTTTTAGCCTGCCATTAGTTCAGATGTGGAGCTCATTACACAGCAATTGACATTTCCCTTCTGAATCTGCATCCTGCTCTGCACAGGCCTCGTATCTGCCTGGGACAACCAGCCCTGTAAGCCACTCTGCAAATCTAAATTCTCTGCAGAACATCCACGGTGTTTTGCTCTCCTGAGGCTGCAGGTACCTTTTCAAACACCGTACCCAAAAAGCTGCAAGGGGGTTCTGAACGTGGGGCCCCCCACTGCACCTGCCAAAGAGATGCAGGTCCCAGCCTGGTACTCGGACCCCTCTCCCCATCCCCGTGCCTCTGTTCACTGCTGTCCAGGCTGGGCCGAGGCACCAGCCCCGGCCTCTGGGACAGCCCGAGGACACTTTGCCGGACTCGGGCGCGATTACGCAGCTCCGGGGCCGCAGCCGGAGGGGTCACAGTGCCCGGCGCGGGAGCGAGTGCCAGTGCCGGGGCTCAGAGAGCGGGGGTCCCGTCCCTCCCGCCGCCCTACCTGACCCGTGCTGCT